CGCCGGAGCCGGCGTAGAGGGTGGCGGCTGCGCGGCCCCAGGCCTATCCCGGGCTGAGGAGGCCGCCTCTGACCTCGCTTCCCATTGTCCCTCGGCCCTGGTCCTCCGGGATCTCTTTGAAGCCCGGCAGGACCAGGCCTTAAATTTGCGCCTGACTTTTCCTGGATGAGAAGCTTCGAAGACGCGAGCGGGAGGGGGTGAACCAACTCGGCTGAGCCCCGTGATCAGCCCAGGGGATGGGGGCGTGCAGAAAAATCTCCCCTCGGGTGGGTGGGCAAGTCTAGCAGAACGTCCGTGGAAGCTCCGGGAACAGTGGCCGGCTTATCCAACAACTGCGTGATAGCTGGGAGGCCGGAGAGGAGGATGCGCAGAGCAGGTGAAGGCAAGGAGAGCGGCGTGAGATGGAAAGGCTATGATTTGCACCTTCTGCGGTCTTCCAGCTGCTTCGATACATGTGAGACATTGACATTCGGAGGCTGGTGACAGCAGACTGTCATGGATACAGGTTGATCGTCGAGTCATGTGAATAGATCACTTAGGCTTGCCTGGAGAAGGGAGCTTGGGTGGGTTGGAGCAGTGGGTGTTAAGGAAGGATTGCTCATTCTTGACTGCATTTACCGAGGCAGAACAACTTTAGTCTCCTGTGCTGTGGGTTGAGCTCAAAGGACACCCTTCTCATTCTCTTGTGGATTGCACCCTTTGGAAATTTTAGTCTAGCTAGCTCTCTGAGTGGTGGAATTGGGATCCCTAGTGCTTTCTGATCATGTACTGCCAACCACATCTTGACTTTCCACGTACCTGGTACCCGGTTAACAGTAGACCTGAGAACCTTTGCAAAGTGGTGACCTTCTTGAAGCCAGTGAAAACCCAGATAAATAACCCTCCTGTTTAAAGACTGCATGTTCCAAAGGCTGTCTCTGCCTGCAGTGTTTAGTGGGATGCAGGGCTTGTATGAGCTGAGTCAAGTAAGGTCTGCAGAAATATTTCCAGTCCTTGAGACTTCTACACCTGAACTAGTCAAGCTGTCAACTAGTGGGAGAGATGGCTTTTTTTTTTTTTTAAAGGCAGTGAATCTACCACTCCAGAAAGCAAATGCAAGATTCAAAATACAAGTCAGCTCTGTATCTAGTATATATACTCAAATATTAATTGCCCACCTATCTAACTAGAAACTGAGATGTCTGCCTGGCTACCTACCAGGAATAAATATCCCCTTTCCTCCCCTTCCCAGGAGGAATATTGCTAATGTGTATTATTGTCAGGTCAAATGCTAATAATTTTAAATTACCCCAGTATCTGGAAGAAGCAGTTTCTGTCTGGAATGTGCAAAGACCCTGTTGTAAGTTTCCATTTGTTGGTAAATGTGCCCCTGTGTTTCTTATTAATCTTGCTCTTTCTGAGCTTTATTGTTTAGCATTTACACAGCACTCTGTATTAAAGTGCTTTATGATGACTAATTACCCTTCCTCTAGTGATGATAAAAGACATTTATTTAGTTAATGGGTCAGTTGAGGACTAGTCAAGGTCACATAGCAAGTCCTAGGTAATCCTTTTTCAGAACTTCAGCTGAATTGGACATTATGACTTAAGTCACTTTTTGTACCTCTGCCATGTGTTGATAATGTGAGAAAGCATGGGAAAAGGAGAGAAGGGTAAGTTGGCACAGTACTTAGTGGTGTGAGAAAAAGACCTCTTCAAATGGTGCAGTCCTTCACCAATGAGAATTCTACCTTGGCTCTCCACCAAGTAATCCTTGGGTCGTTCCAAAACCTGAGGCCCTGCTAGAATTGACATTTTTGATGCCAGAGGAAATAGGTCACTTCAGGGTGACCTTGATGGTCCCCAGTCAGGTCACATCCCAGTATAACTTTCCGGTCAGCTTTTATTTGTTCATTTGCTTTGTCTGAGAAAGAGTGGAGTGGATGTCCATCAGTTATAAGCATAGATACCTGGATTCTTCAACTGTGATTGTAACTTACTCAGCTTTGTATGCTATGGGGCTACTGCAGTGCAGTGTACATAATAGGACTTGTTGGTTTGATTGAAGGCTTGAGATGTCTGAGTGTCAAGAAGTGCACTAAATGGGTACCACATTGAACAAGTTAATTAGCCTCTGTGCCTCAATTTCCTCATTTTATAGTGCCTATTTTTTGGAACATGTAGAAATGGGGCATGTTGGGAATTAATATGGCAAAAGTGATTTTTACCAAGAATCTTAGTATATTTATACTTCTTTTTCAGTGAGCATTTAACACAGAAGTATATAACACAGGACATATGTATGATTTAAATAGGAAGTCAAAACTATAGAAGAAGGAAAAAATATTGTTAGCCTTGAGGGCTTAGTTGAAGAGGTTAAGTCATCATGTGCAACTCTCAGCTTCCTAGCAGCCAGAGGATAAAGGGCCTTAGCGGGCATGGGAAACAATACATGCCAATTTTTCAGGAAGACAACTTTTCTTGGCACAAAGTTCTAAGAGAGATTTTCAGGGGACTATATGAATGTAGTAGGATGCTGTGGTATGATTCACATGGTAAGGCTTGTTCATGACTGTCACTGGTGATTTTAGGTGGCATGCTTAGGAAAATTTGAGGTAAGAAAAGGAGTCCTTGAGTTAAGGGTAAGTATATATTGTTCCACACCTGAAGAAGATCCTTGTTTAATGTTGGCATTTTTCAGTCAAACCAAATAAGTCATCCACTTCTCCATAATCATAGTTATATTTATTCCTCTTTTTCTGCTACTTTGTGTTGCAGGGGTGATAACTACCCTTGGACCTTTGGAAGCTGACACTATATCACGTTGATTCTTTTTTCATAGAGAAAACCCAAATCTCCAACTTGTTGATGAAACCTGCAAGTAGGCATGTTTCTCTGGAAGGCCTGTCAGAACATTTGCTGTTCTCTGAACTTGTGAACTTTGGGGGAACTTTTCAGAATAACACATTCAGCGTTTGACATAGAATCTGTGTAGTCAGAGACTCTTAACCACCAGCCAAATACAGGAAAGGAGCATAAGAAGACACAAGAAATACTTTTGTTTACAGCACACTCTTTATTTGAATAAAGCATATGTGGCTCTAATTCATCAAAAGGGTCAGCTAAGATTCAGGAAGCACACTAAGTAGAACCCTGATGAATACTGCCTGAGTGTTGGCTAACCTGGCAGGTGAAATCCAGGGTGCTCCTTTTCTCATCCAGGCTGTCTCATGGCTAATTCTTGGTGCAGTTTTATAGAATTTACACTAGTCTTCTCAGAATCACTGAGAAGAGATTTGATAGGATGGCACGTACTATCTTCTCCACATCATTAGTATCTGTTGACTCTCTTTAGAGTGGCTGCTGTTTTAGTAGCAGTCTTTGAAACAAGAGAGTGCAAGAAAATCCTCCTTTTAAGATTTGTTTTTCACAGATACTGATTATCTTTCTTTTTCTTGTTTGGTTTAATTAAACTCTAGTTTTCAAATTACTTTGTTCCTAGTTCTTTTAGACATTTAGCTTGTAACAGATAAATCTGGTCATTGTCTGGCCCTTTGTTGGCAAGATAGCAGATGTGTACCTTTTCTATCAGGAGGGGGATCATTTGGATCCACTGCTATTGCCTGTTATAATATTCTAGTGAAGTTTATCTAGAATGGATATTTTGATACATAGAATCATGTAGATCTTTTTGTTGCCTATGACTCCTGGAAAGTTTACTCAGCTACCTGGAAACAAGCACTTGAATGCCATACTGGGGTTGTTTTAAAGGACTGGCTGGTAAAGGAGAGTCATTTACACCTATCTGTTTCCAAGTTTGGGAATGTGATTATTCAATTTTTAAAAAGAAGAGCCACCCTTATGATCCTAAACACATAACTTATTATAATACAGAACATTATAATTCAGAACACATCCTGCTGAGAGGAGTCAGACACCCCCCTCTTGTATTAAGGACAACACATTTGTATTGGCCAGTTTTTCCAATCTGACATCTGAGAATCCCAAGTTGAATACAGAATCTTACTATAAGTTTTCCTTTTGATTCTTGTTGACACCATCAGCGCCTTTCGTGTGGTAAGCAGTAAAGCAAAACGCCTATGGAATCGCAGTCCCTCTTCTTATCCCATATTTCCCTTTGACTCACCCAGGTAGTTCTTTTATTGTCCCACTCTTGTGTGACTATTGCATGAGACCTCTTTAGCTTCTCCTTTTTGTTCCTGAAACTGTGAGGAGTAGTACAATATAAGTCAAGCGCTTCATTTTTGGAGTCAGGTTTATCTTCAGTCTCTACCATCTGATACATAGTTGTGTGACCTTGGACAAATGATTTAACCTGTCTGTGCCTCCATTTTCTCATCTGTAAAATAGGGAACAGTGATAGTATTACCTAAATAGATTGGTTAAGAGGATTAGCATTTAGTAAATACTAATTCATGTTTATTCCTTTATATCTAGAGTGACTAGAGTGACCATGTATTCTGGTTTGCCTGTACAGTTCTGGCTTTTATCTGTTATCCTAGTATGTCAGCCAATGAGTGCCTCCTTATATTCTGAAAAGCACTCCGGTTAATTTGGTCACCCTATTTATATCTCTCTAGATGATATGACATGATGGTTCAAATGAGAGCCTGATTTTGAAATACTGCTAAAGAGCCAAAGCAAAGATGTTTCTATTGAAATGTCAGGTCAATGGGAAAAATTTTTTTCTGACAAAAATGTTACTTTGTGCAGAGCTTACAGCTATTGAACTCTAAAATATTTGTTGATTACCAAGGGGTGCATAGACAGTGAGAGATCTTAGAGCTGTGATGAAGGGGAGATGTGCTCTCCCTCACCATTCCCTACCCTGCCCCCATGATACACAGTGCACTGACAGAACGTGGCTGTTTGGCAGACATTGGGCTAGTATCAGCCTAGGAGTTGGTTTCCTTAAACTGCAGTAGTTTGTTTATTTGGGGGGGCGGGTGGAGAGGGTGTTCTCCCAAACTGAAATCCTTGAATTACATGAAATGATTCCAAAGAGTCTTTGGAACTATGACTTTATCATTTTATATCATTTTACATTTGCGCTCCAATTCCTTCCCCCAGGCATTGTTTCTCGCTGCTCTTAGCAGCCTGCTTCCAATTCTGTATAGGTGATTTGCTCCTGCTGAAGTGTGTGGCCTTTGCTCCATAGCAATTACAGAACTTGGCTGGAGAACCACAGCCTTTGTTGAGAC